TATGCAGTGCAAGGATCAAAACCAAGGCTGGCAATGCTCCGCCCTGGCACGACACCCCGTCCCGTAATGCGCGTTTAACTTGGTTTCTCCGAGAGCTGCGGCACGCTCCCGGCACATGGCCACGTGTGAGTGTCTCTCAGCCCGGCCAGGGCATCGGGCTCAGCCATGGGCCTGCAGGGACTCAGGGCAGATGACACAGGGGCTTCATCCTGTGGCTCAGTAAGCCTCCCCAGGTCCTTGGGTGAACAACCCTTCCCAGATGACTGGGACTGTCCTGATTGGAAAACGAAGTCCCAGTGCCCCAAGAGGCCCTCAGTCCCTGCCGGCAGATGCCAAAACCTGGAACAGTGTGGTCCCCAGCAGGCGACTCATCTCTGCTGGGATCCGTGCTGTGCGGCCTGGGCCTGGACAAGAGCAGCATCAGAGATGCAGGGGTGGACGGCAGGCATCTAAACATACCCGAGGGATGGGCCAGGTCAGCGTCTGTGACAGCGCGTGCACACAGGGCACTGTCAGGGCCTAAGCTTACGCAGGAGGAGTCTCAGGCCAGCGGACCCTATCACTGCGGAGAGGGGTGCTGCTCTGCGCACTGTGAGATGTGTATCAGCAGCTCTGGGCTTGGTCCCCGAGCTGACTGGTGCACCCCGTCCTGGGGTGGAAATAGTCACGTGTTTCTACACATTGCCACGTGCCCCTAGGGGCCGGGCAGGCCCCGCTCCTCAAGGAGAGCTTCCAGGTGAGCGCTTTGTAGTGTCCGTCTTGCGTCCCGTCCTCTTGGGCCTTCACAGTCTAAGCAACGTGTCTGGATACACAGGATGCTGAAGACCCGTTCCCACAGGTCTGGGAACATCGCTGCTGCAGAGAAACAGTGCTCTGGGACTAAATCAATCTGGAGAATTCCGCGTTCCTCGGCCTCACACGGGCTTTTGGTGTTCTTGTGGCGCTGGGGACTGAACCCCAGTCTCGCACACATGTCATGCCCTCTTGCGGAGCGGCGCACAGCCCCTGCGATGTATCTGGGAAATGCCGCCCACAGAAAATCATTCCATTCTTGGAGTCAGCCGTGAATCCTGCTCAACATGGATGACACTGAGCTTGCTCATAGCCACGTGTGGTTCTGGAGAGTCCTCTCTTTAAACCCACGGACCCAAAGTCAACCGAGCTGATCGTTCTTGGTACCAGATCTAAAATTCCCAAGTATGTTGCCAGGCGTGGCGGCGCGCGCCTGTAATCCCAGCACTTGGGAGGCTGAGGCAGGAGGATCCTTGCGAGTTCAAGACTAGCCTGGGCCACAAAGTGAGCTCAAGGCCAGCCTGAACTGCAGAGCAAGACCCTGTCTCAAAAAAGACAAAAACAAAAACAAAAAATAAATAAATAAATAAATAAAATTCCCAAGTGTGGATTAGCTCTCAGGATCTCCTGACTAATCAGTGTTTCCAGGATAGGTTTACTGGCTGCCCCTTTGCAAGGAGGAGATGCTGTCGCTGATGTGGTCCCTGGGGAGCTCTCTGCAGAGAGGGGTCACACTAAGCAGACAAAGCCATAGACACCTACTTAACGGCTCTTTCATAGTCATCTTCTTCAAAAGTTGTTTTCTTTCCCATTATTTACGCTCTTTCTTAATGCCTGGCAGCTTCCCCGTCTTGGTTCTTGCTCAAGTGTCTTGGAAACTGGTAGCAACTTACCTCAACATGGATGATTGTGCTTAAATACTGGAATTAAGGCCAGCTTGGGCCCACAGCCACTGCCGCATGGCATTCAGGGCCGTTTCCTGTAGAGGGATCTGCTGCCGAGAATCGCCTGACAAGGAAGTCTTCGGAAAGCCGACCAGAGGCGGAATAGAAAGCTTATTCAATTTCTATTCTGAGCAAGGGATGCCAGCCCTTTAAATACCAAGCTCTGGTTGCTAAGAGAACCAAACTGTAGGTTGCTAACACAAGTCTCCATCCTTTGGTGAAGATTAATACCTTGCCTGGCTAAATGCAGACAGAAGGGTCACAGATGAGATTCGGATTTCTCATGACTGGGGGAGGGTTAGGCCGGGTGAAGGATGCGGGGGTTGGGGGTAGTTTCTAGTTCATGAGAAGAAGGTAGAGGTGTAGTTCCACACTACTTAACAAACACCGTGACTTGCTAAAGCAATCAAAAAATGGCTTTGGGACTGGCTCCGTTTCTACCACTAGTTTGGTCTATGTATTGAGGATTTGTGAAACTGCTTACGCTATAGAAAATAACGGTATTCAGGGTCCGGTCCCTTTGGTTATTGTTATTAAATATTCCCAGTACATAGAGCTGAACCTAACTAATCAGCGTAGGCGGAGGTTCAAAACGCAAAGCCACCTGGCTGGAGGACAGCTCCTTCCAGGTGCTCTCCCTGCTCTCTGCTGCCTGTGGCTTCCAGTTCAAGCCTGCAAGAAAACAAGGATAATTGGCTTAACTGGCATGAGCCACATCAGGGCGCCTGGGGGGGCCTGCGGGTGCTGTCAGCCTTCGCAGTGTCCTGTCCTGGCCCGATGCTTTATCACCTGGCCAAATCATGGTCTCCGTGTTTCCCTAAGGAGCAGCCAAGTTCCAGTCTTTCCTTGATAAAAGAAGAAACCGAGACCCAGAGAGCCCAGGTGCGGCCCCTGTTGCAGAGGGAGAACCCGGAGGCGGGATCGAGGGGGCACGGCTGTGGGAAACACTTCATTGACAAACAACAGGTTGCTGGCTGATTCAGCCCACAGCTGCAGTTTGCTGATCCTTTTATCTGAAAGCTTTTTAGGGAGAAGAATAAAAGTTAAAGATAGTGTGTCTTTCTCAGTCATCACGAGAAGCTGGGAGAGGTTTTCAATTAGCAGTGGTTACGCCTGGGAAGAAGCTCACTGGGCATGACACCGCACTGGGTAAAGCCGTGGCTGGGTACTGGCGAGTGGGTGTTTGTGAGGGGGTACTTGTAAGGGGTGTTTGTGAGTGGGCATCAGTGAGTGGGCGTTTGTGAGGGCTGCTGGTGAGACACTCTATTTGCGTTCTGGTGTTGGCTTCGGAAAGGGGGAAGCAAGAAAAAAGAAGGGAGCCACGGAAGTTAGTAACTTCTCTCCTGTGGTTGAGAAGCCCGTATTTTCAAATTTTCTTGCTAACCAGAGCTAACAAACAAAATTAATTGCTTGCATTTCAATTCATTATTCCTGCCTCAAGTGGGTTTGCAAAGCAATGCAATTCTCCAGCTCAGGCAAACAAAGCGAAAACTTCAGGCAAGAGCTGGACCCCTGCTTGTGCCACTGCTGCTCTCCCTTGGCAGAGAAAGGCGTTGCCGGCGCTGCCTCCCACCCACTGGAATCCCAGCTGGGGGCGCTGGGGGTTCCAGGCCAGGGCCAGGCGACGCTTCTAAGACCATCGACTTCCTTCCACAGAAATCTGTACCACTGCAAGGCGGGCGTGGTGGCACATGCCTGTAATCCCAGCACTCAGGAGGCTGAGGCAGGAAAGATACTGTGTTCAAAGCCAGCCTGAACTACATAGCGAGACCCTGTCTCAATAAAACAAACAAAAAGAAATCTAGGCCACACCAGGCTCCGAACTCACCAAGGCCCAGATCCATTCTGTCAGCTCCTCCGCAACCCGACAGAACGCCCCCCCTGCCGCGGGTGCTCCCGATCTCACACGCTGCACACTCCCTGGGCCCGGCACTGCTTCGGGCAGGAAGTTCAGTTCCGGTCACTGCCAAGGTGTAGCCACACAATCACCCAACGCCTTTTCTTTTCTTTATCATTTTGAGACAGGGTCTCACTCTGCAGTTCAGGCTGGCCTTGGACTTACTATGTAGCCCAGGCTGTCCTTGAACTCATGGTGATCCTCCTGCCTCAGCCTCCCGAGTGCTGGGATTGCAGGCGTGCGCCCACACACTCAGCCTCACTTCTTGCAGGGTAAACATCTCTGTTCTCCCCAGGTCTGACAAATAACCAACGTGTCAAGACAGAGAGTGCAGGACCAGGCGGACTGTGGGATCCAGACCGGGCTTGAGGAATTCTCCAAACTTTGCACGGCGGGGGTCCTTGCTGGTGGGCTTTGGAGGCGCAACCCGCAGGCCGCACTTCAGGCCAGTGAGGTAATAAGCGCGGTACCCAAGCTCCGCAAAAAGCCTTGACAGCACTGCCACAGTGCTGCCGAAACCTCCGCGACGCCCCCGCAGGACGCACGGCCCACAGAAAGGCTCGTTCCGGCGAAACGGAGCCCGCCCCGCGCGTGCGCACACGGGACACGGCCGAGGCGCGGCCTCCGCGTCCGCCCTGCGCACCGCGGGCTCGGGCCTCTCCGGGCCCGGCGCCCTCTTCCGGCCGGTGGGGAGAGAAACGTCCCGACGGGGGCGGGCCACCGGGAGCGCCTGAGGAGAAGGCACTGGCACGCGGCGTGCCTCCCTCCTCCCAGGCGGCCGCGCCCACCGGCAGGTCCGCGCGGGCTCGCCCTTCCTCCGTCGGGAGAATTAGGGGTCCTCCCGCTTTCCGGGGCGCTCCCCGCGGCCCCTGCGCGGCCTGTAGCCGGTGACTCGCTCCGAGGCGAAGGCGGCTTGCTCGGGGGACGCGGCCACGTCCCCACGTGTCTGTCTCCCGCTGTCCTCGCGGGCCGGCCGGCCGGGAAGCAGTCGCGCGCCCCCGCCCGTG